GTTCTAGCTAATGAAATAAGAAAAGGAAACAAAAAGTATACAGATTGGGAAGGAAGAAATAAAATTTTCCTTGTTTGCCAATGACATGATTATCTATGTAGAAAATCTGAAAAAAGTCAACAAAGAAACTCTTGGAACTAATAAGCAATTATAGCAAGGTTGAAGGATACAAGGCTAATAAACAAAAGTCAATCACTTTCCTATATACCATTAATGAATAAGGGGAATTTGAAATTAAAAACACATTACCATTTACATTAGCACTCCCCAAAACGAAATACTTCAGTATAAATCAGATGAAATATGTATAAGATCTATATGAAGAAAACCACAAAACTCTGAGGAAAAGTTGCAAAGAACTAAATAAATGGAGGGCTATTCCATGTTCATGGATGGGTGGACTCAATATTGTTGAGATGTCAGTTCTTCCCAACTTGATCTATAGATTCAATGTAATCCCAATCAAAATTCCAGCAAGATATTTTGTGGATATTGACCAGCTGACTCCAAAGTTTATACAAAGAAGGGAAAGACCCAGAATAGCCAACTCAATATTAAAGGAGAAGAACAAAGTCAGAGGACTAACACTACCCTACTTCAAGACTTACTATAAAGCTACAATAATCAGACAGTATGCAATTGGCAAAAGAATGAATCTAGACACAGGTCTCATACCCTTCAAAAAATTAACTCAAAATGGATCACAGGGGTGTCTGGGTGGCTCAGTCATTAAGCGTCTGCCTTTGGCTCAGGTCATGATCCCAGGGTCCTGGGATCGAGCCCTTCTTTGGACTCCCTCTTTGGCCGGAAGCCTGCTTCTCTCTCTCCCACTCCCCCTGCTTGTGTTCTCTCTCTCACTGTGTCTCTCTCTGTCAAATAAATAAATAAAGTCTTAAAAAAAAATATGGATCACAGATCTAAGCGTAAAATGCAAAACTATAGAACTCCTAGAAGATAACATAGGAGAAAACTTAGATGACCTTGGGTTTGATGATGATGTTTTAGATATAATACCAAAAGTACAATCCATGAAAGAAATCACTGATAAGCTGGAATTCATTAAAATTAAAAACTGCTCTGCAAAAGACAATGTCAAGAGAAGGAGAAGAGAAGCCACATACTGGGAGAAAATATTTGCAAAAGACACACCTGATAAAAGACTATTATCCAAAATATAGAAAGAACTCTTAAAACTCAACAATAAGAAAACCAATTTTAAAAAGCTTTTGCAATGGGGTACCTGAGTGGCTCAGTTTAAGTGCCCAACTCTTGATCTCAGCATCGTGAGTTCAAGCCCCATGTTGGGCTCCTTGCTGGTTGTGGAGCCTACTTAAACAAAAATAAAATAAAAATAAAAAATAAGAAGCTTTTGCACAGCAAAGGAAACCAACCAAAAAAAAAAAAGAAAAGAAAAGAAAAGAAAGAAAAAGAAAAAGAAAAACAAAAGGCAATCCATGGAATGGCAGAAAATATTTGCAAACCACCTATCTAATAAAGAGTTGATATCCAAAACATATAAGGAATTTATACAACTCAATTGGAAAACAACAACCCAACAAATAACCCAATTAAAAATAGGCAAGGACCTGAATAGACATTTTCCCAAAGAAGATACACAAACAGCCAATATGTATGTAAGGAGATGCTCAAGATCGCTAATTATCAGGGCTCAGTAGGGTGGGTGGCTCAGTAGGTTAAGCCTTCGGCTTAGGTCATAATCCCAGGGTTCAGCCGGGAGCCTGCTTCTCCCTCTCCCTCTGCCCACCACTCCCCCAGCTTGTGCTCTCTTTCTCTCTGTCAAATAAATAAATAAAATCTTTAAAAAAATCACTAATTATCAGGGAAATGCAAATCAAAACCATAACTTTAGATATCACCTTACACCTGTTGTCTCTCTCTCTCTATATATATAAAAACCCAAGAGAAAACAAAAGCTGGTGAGGATGTGAGAAAAAGGGAAGCCTTGTGCACTGTTGGTAGGAATATAAATTGATACAGACTTTATGGAAAACAGAATGGAGGTTCCTTAAGAAATTAAAAATAGAATTACCATACAATCCAGTGATCCCACTTCTGGGTATTTATCCAAAGAAAACAAAATCACTATCTCAAAGAATTATCTGCATTCCCTTGTTCACTGTAGCATTTATTCACAAAAGCCAAGATATGGAAACAACCTTAGTGCTTGTCAATGGATGAACGGATAAATGAAATATGCCGTGTATATATGTGTGTATGTACGTATGTATATATATAATGCAATGTTATTTATCCTTTAAAAAAGAAGGAAATTTTTCCATTTGTGACAACATGGATGACCCTGGAGGGCATTATGCTAAGTGAAATAAACCAGACAGAGAAAGACAAATACTGCATGGTATCACTTATATGTGGAATCTTAAAAAAAAAACCAAAACAACACAGAGAAACAGAAACAGTAGAATGGTGGTTGCCCGGGCCTGGGGCAGGGGATGGGAAATGGGAAAATTGATAAAGGAATATCAATTGTCAGTTATAACATGACTAAGTTCTGAGGATTTCACATACAGTATGGTGACTGTAGTTAACGATACTGTATCATGTAACTGCAATTTGCTAAGAGAGTAGATCTTAAGTGTTCTCACCACATATACACATACACACACACATACAGTGTGTTTCTCACAGAAAAGTTTCTTACAAAACTAAACATACTATATGATCCAGCAATTGCACTCATTAACATTTACCCAAATGAACTGAAAACATGTCCACACAAAACCCTGCACATGGATGTTTATTCATAACTGCCAAAACTTGGAAGAAACCAAGGTGTCTTTTAGTAGGTGAATGGATAAACAAACTGTGGTACATATGATGGAATATTATTTACAGCTAAAGAGAAATGAGTTATCAAACCATGAAAAGACATGGAGGAACTTTAAATGCATATTAGTGAAGAGGGAGGGATGAAGGGTAGAGCACCAAGGATTTTTAGGTCAGCGGAGCTACTCTATATGATACTACAATGGTGGATACATAACAGCATACATCTATCAATACTATAGAATGTACAACACCAAGAGGGAACCCTAATGTAAACTATGGACTTAGGGTGATAATGGGTCAATGTGGATTCAGTTGTACCCAATGTACCATTGTATGTGAGATGCTGATAGTGGGAGAAGCTGGGCATATTTGAGGACAGGGAGTATATGGAAATTCTCTGTACTTGCTGCTCAATTTTTCTGTGAACCCCCAAAAATGCTCTCTAAAAATAACTTTATCAATTAAGCAAAACAACCAACCAAAACAAAAATCCTGGCAGCCTTACTGATCTAGTAATCTTAGCAAACTCAAAGAAGGATGAACACAAAATCACACCCAACTATCTCATGATCAACCTGTTGAAAACCAAAGGTAAAGAGAAAATCTTAAAAGCCAAAGAAAAAAGACGTATAACATGCAGGGGAACAACAAGAACCACAACCAACTTCTCATGAGAAGTTGTAATTCTCTATGTCAGCCAGAAGACCATGCATGGAACAACATATTTAAAGTGCTAAAAGGGAGGAAAACTGCCAAACTATCATTGTATATCCAATTGAAAATATCTTTCAAAAAATTAAGGTAGGGGCTCCTGGTTGGCTCAGTTACTTAAGTGGTTGACTCTTGGTTTCGGCTCAGGTTGTGATCTCATGGGTTGTGAGACTGAGCCTCACGTCGGGCTCCCCACTCAGCAGGGAGTCTGCTTGATGACTCGCTCCCTCTGCCCATCATCGCATGTGCTTGCTCTCTCTCAAATAAATAAATACATCTTTAAAAAGAAATTTAAGGTAAAATGACGACAGTTTTAGATAAAAAGCAGGGAGGATTTGTTGCCAGCAGACCCATACAGGCAGAGCTAAAGGACATTCTTTAGGCTGAAGACAATGATACCAGATAGAATCTGGAGCTACAGGAAATCATTAGAAATGATAAATATATCGGTAGATGTGAAAGACTATTTTCCTAACTTCTTTCAAAGGCAACTGTTCAAAGCAGTAACAACAATGCATTGTTGGGATTATAACAAATGCAGAGTGAAATATATGACAGTGATAGAGCAGGGTTAGAAGGGGGCAAATTATACAGTTGTAATATTCCTATTTACATATGAAGTGGTATAATATTAATTGAAGCAAATTGTGATAAGTCAAGGATGCATATTGTTATCCTTAGAGCAACTGTGAAAAAGTAACACAAAGTCATTGGAAGAGATAAAATGGGACTGTAAACAGTACTCAATCTAAATGAAGACAGGAAAAAGGGGAAAAATTAAGAAGATGGGGTAAATAGAACACAAATAGCAAGATGGTTGACAAATGGAACCATATTAATAATTCTACATATCATTAAATGTAAATGAACTCAACAGTCAAGATGGTTTAAAAAATAAGTCCCAAGTATACGCTGTTTACCAGAGATATACTTTAAATAGAAAGACAGTGTTGAAAGCAAAAGGATTGAAAAAGATATACTATGCAAATGCTAAGAATAAGAAAGCTGGTGTGTTTATTTTAGTATCAAAGTAGAATACAGAACAAGGAGTATCACTAGAGAGAAAGATATTAATTTCATAAAGTTGACATTAAAATCCTGAACATGTATGCACCTAATAACAAAGCTTCAAAACACACTAAGCAAAAATTGACCAAACTAAAGGGAGAAATAGACAAATCTACAATCATAGATGGAAAGATGGAGAGTGAAAGAAGATAAATATAGAGTGTCAGACAGAGACACAGAAGAAAGAGAGAGACAGAGAAACGGATACAGAGACAAAGAGCCCAAGTGAACGAGAGGGATGTGACCTGATCCTAAGAGGCTGACAGGACCCAGAGACAAGGAAAGAGAGAGATGGACCATGCCCTGGACAGGAGGGAGAGTCGGGAGCTCTGGTTGCAGTGCAAGGAGCCAGAGCAGGGTCTGGACCTGTGGGATCCCAGGGGGGTGCTGTAAGGGGGGGCAGCATCACTCACCCGCTGCCCTGTGGAGCCTTGGGGGCCAGGCTCCCCACGCAGTCCCTGTGTGGGAGGGAGGAGAGGTACGAAGTCAGCTATTGGTGGGTGTGACCCAGGGACCCCAGGACTCCCCAGAATCTTCCACCAAGGGTTGCCTCAGTACTCACTCTCTCTCCCTTCTCTCCTGGGTTGCCAGAGATTCCTTTGGGTCCAGTGGGGCCTGGAGGTCCCTGAGCAACAAGACAGGGCCTCACTCTTGTGCTGAGGCAGGATGGGGTGGGCAGGGACTTGGTAGGGCAGAGGGGTCAAGGAGGGAGCCTCAGTTTGGCCTGGGCCTCTGGGTTCTTTATCACACTCCCAGTGCCTGGCACACAGCAGTGACTTTGTACAGCTCAGGGTTCAGAGTTATGGCCCTGGAGTCAGAGAGTCCCTGCCCTGATCCGGAAGTTGCCATGTGCTGGCAGCAGCCCTAGGTCAAGAACCTCTACCTTTCCTGGCCGCATGTGCTGACAATACTTGTTTCTCCTTACATGGACTGAATGAAAAGATTTATGGAAAGTAGTTTGCATATTAAGTGCTCCATAAATGCTTGAATGAATGAATGAAGGATGGATGGATATGTGGACTGATTAAGTGGGTGGGTGGATGAATGGATGGACAGATGAATGAGAGCAACTGGAGAACTACCCACCATGTGTCCAGGACTCCCAGGGATGCCCATGGGACCAGGAAGTCCAGGGGGACCTGGAATAAGACAGGATGTCCTCAGGACTGAAACAAAGTACAATGCCAGGAAGTCCACCATCCGCTCCCTCCTGAGAGCCACAGCCCTAGTCCCTCTGCCATTTCCCAACACTACCCCTTACCCTAGACCTGGACTCAACTTACCCATGGGCCCTGGGGGGCCTGGGAGTCCAGCTGGTCCCTGGGGCCAGTGGCTGCTGGTCTCAGTGAAGGTATTGGACAGTAACGGGTCCCCTGGGAGGAGGAAGATGGTGAGTCAGCAGGGCTGGGCTGGAGTATGGCAGTCAGTCTTTACCCGCCACCTCCGCCAAGCCAGCTGGGACTGCCCTGTGGGATAACCGGCAGTGTGGTTGGGGCTACCAGACAAATGCTCCAAGGGTGGGGAGTGTGGAGAGTACTGGTCCCACGGGACCAGGAGGCAGGGAGACCTGGGTTCTAACCTTACCACAGTCTAGCTGGTGACATCCCGCAAGACTCCACCTCGCTGAGCCTGTACTGCCACGTCAAATGGGAATAATAGTAAAAGCTACTGTTTATTGACCACCTACTTTGCACCGGGCTTCTGTGCATGGGGGTCATGGAGCTCTGGGAGAACTGTACAGTCAGTCTCCCCATTGTACAGATGAAGAAACTGAGGCTTGGGGAAGGAGGAGTGGTGAGATGGAATGAACGGCAGGATGGGGGAATACATGAATGGTGCCCAGCCATACACTAGAGATAGGGCACAGGTAGGATTGAATGTGGCCCTCCAAGCTCTGACCACTGGCAGCATGCATGTAGGTCAGGCTGGGGAGGAGGCGAAGGATACACGTCAGGGTCCCGCTGGGCGAGGGTTGGGGGGAGCTCTCTGAGCACAGGGCCAGGGAGCACAGAGCTCATTTCCTGCTGCCAGACCTTGAGCCTTCCGGTGCTCTGAGGGCTGGATCCTGGCCAGCTCCAACGCTTGGCAGGAGGGCCTCAGGCCGGTGGTTCCAAGCACAGGCTCTGGAGGACGCCTGGGTTTGAAGCCAGCCCCGCCCCCCAAGTCCTGGCTATGTGATCTCCCCTCTCTGGCCCTCAGTTTTCCTCATCTGAGAACAGAGGAGGACAGTGGCATCTGTTGGAAGACTGGGCGACACGTAGCTGACCAAAGGCAAGGTAAACAGAAGGTTCCTAGCAGATGGCAGCGGTACTGGGCTGATGGTTATGCCAACCTTGCCCCCACCCCCACCATTATCTGTCGTGACCCCCGCAGGACTCACCATACTGGGGGTTCCGGGTGTGGGGTGGTCCAACAGGGGCTGGGGGCCCAGGGGGCCCCGGGGGGCCAGGAGGCCCGGGTAGGCCTGGAGGTCCCTTCTCTCCAGGGGCGCCCACAGCTCCAGCCTGGCCAGGGCTTCCTGGGGGGCCCTGAGGACCTACAATGGAACCAGGGAGTTGGTGGGCATCTAGGAGGCAGGCAGACCCAGGGTGGCTTCCAGAGGGCAGGACAAGGCAGCCTGGCGGCATGGGGTATAAGAGGGCTCCAGAGGCCACAGGCCCAGGCCTGTCCTGGCTCTGACTTCCTTGGCCATGTAGGGGGGTGAACAGCTCTCTCCAGGGGCTTTAGGACAATGGACACTTGGTGCACAGCAGATTCTTAGGAAATGTTGATTTCCAGAATGTTCTCTTCTCTCCCTTCCAGGCTTCTGAATGAGTTGCTCCCTCTATCAGTCCTCCCTTTGCTCTGCCTGGTGTCCCTTCAAGTCATCCTTTAGGCCTCAGCTAAGATGTTACTCCTACCAGGAAGCCCTCCCCACCCCTCACCCCATCCAGGCTGGGTCTACGCTTCCTTCCTTGGGCCTCCCATACCTGCAACGTCCCCCAGAAGAACCCTGGTCACATGGTGGGGGGCATTGCTGTTTCTCCACTGCCTGGGCCCCCCCCCCACACTGGTCTGGGAGCTCCAGGAGGCAGGGACAGATCTGACCCCACCCCAGTGCCCAGCTCAGAGCCTGCTAGGGTAGGTGCCCAGGAAGCATAGGTCCAGTGAATGCAAAAGAGGGCTTCAGGGAGCCCAGGCGCAAGTGGAGGGGTGGTGAGCTGAGACACAAGTGGGTGGAAGGGGCCCAGGCTACCCTTGGCCAAGGAAGCGTTCACTGACAGGGCTGACCTGGATAGCTGGGGGTAGGGGCAGTGCTGTGGGCACTCACCTGGTGGGCCTCTCATCCCCATTGGGCCTCGGCTGCCAGTGTCTCCCTTGGGGCCAGTGGGCCCAGGAAGCCCCTGGCCACCAACTCGATCTGGGGGAGAAAGTTCATCAGCTTGGCAGAGCTTGCCCGACGCTGGCCCCAGCCCCTCAGCCAGCCCTACCATCTTGAGGGAGCAATGGGGCCCTCATGTTCTCTCTGGCTCTGGGTAGCCCTGGGGCAAGGGGGTAGGCAGGGGTCAGTGTCATCCAGGGTCCCTGCCCCCAGGTCCACTGTGTGGGACAGGGGCAATGGGGCTGCCGGGCCCCGTCCCCTCAGGCCCACTGGAGAACTGGGAAGACCGAGGCCCAGAAGGGTGTCAAGCTGGGAGTCAGCAGGGTGGGGACTGGAATCACTCCCTCGATTCATTCCCACGTGGGAACATGCCCCCTACTGACCCACTCACCTCGGAGGCCTTCATCCCCGGGGCTGCCCTGGGCACCTGGGGAGCCCCATAGTGGGACGGGGTCCCCGGGGGCAGCTGGGGTCGGGAGCACTGCCCGCTCAGTGACAGTGAGCACTGCCACCTGTGGAAGAAGAGGAAGGCAGGGTAGGATTCAGGGTCTCACCAGGGACAGGCCAGCTGTGGGGCCCCCGTGTTGGGCGCAGGAGGCCCGTGCACCCAGCAGAACCCAGCTTGGAGTGGAGACCCAGGGCTCAGAAATGACTGATTTTCAAACTGCACAATTCGTCCTTAGGAAAGCCAATACACACGGTCACTGCCACCCAAGTGGAGCTTTGGGTCGCTGTGTTTGCTGGGCCGTGCAGTTTTTCCCACACTGACCTGCATCAATAATCTGAAACTTCTCTTGGTCTCTTAAAGCACCACAGGCTGGAAGGATTTTTACTAAATTTGGAGGGAAGTTTGGGGGGGGGTCTGACATGAACTAGAGGCCCTGGGGTGTATACAAAACCACTTTGGGACCCAGGGTGGGGGAGTCTCTGAAAGGTCAGAGGTGTCTGCTGAGCCACTGACCAAGGATTAAACAGGGGCCAGAGGTGCCCTGGGTGGCTCAGTCGGTTAAGCATCCGACCGTTGATTTCAGCTCAGGTTGTGACCTCAGGGTTGTGAGATCAATCCCCTCATCGGGCTCCGCACTTAGCGCAGAGTCTGCTTGGGATTCTCTCTCTCCTCCCCCCTGTCCCTTCTCTCCTGCTCATGTGCACTCTCTCTCTAAAATAAATAAAAAAATAAAAAATAAACAAACAAACAAATAAATAAAATCTTTAAAAAGGGGGGGCCAGAATGCCCACTGACTGGGGGTGGGGGGTCATGTGGTCCCGTCCAGAGAACAGCTGAAACTCTTGTGCAGACCCTGAACAGAGAACCACGCCCCAGATCTGAGACTGAGCCCCTCATACCGGCTCTCCCGGGAGGAAGCCCTGGGGAGCAGTGTGGGCTTCCTGGAGCTCCCACACCTCATAACCGGGGTACTAGCACATGCTGGAAAACCAGAAGCTTGGTTTTCCCCCCGACACATGTGACAAAATGGAGGTGTTGTGGATGGCTGTCTGTCTGGTATTCCACCGAGCCATGTACACTAATTCCACAAAAACCACCCCTCCGGCCGTCTGGTTTCCAAATTTCCCTATCCATTATTAACATTCTGGTAAACATCTTCACATTGACTCTCCTTAAGATAAATTCCCAGAGTGACGGAGGAAAAGATATGCAGGTTAAGTATATATGTCTCTATGTGTGCTTAGAAAATCTGGAAGAAAAGATGCTTAAATGTTGACTGCCACTCCCTCTGGGGACACAAGTGACCGCTGCAGATGGTTTTCTGGTAGGTTTTTCACAGTTCCGAGTATTTCATGTTTCTAAATTTAGAATGTCTTACTTTTTTTTTTTTAAAGATTATTTTAGAGAGAGAGAGAGCGAGCGCGTGCATGTGCTTGCATGAGCAAGAGGCAGGGGAGGGGCAGAGGGAGAGAATCTCAAGCAGACTCCCCCCTGAGTGCAGAGCCCAATGCGGGGCTCCATCTCACAACGCCCAGATCATGACCTGAGCCGAAATGAAGAGTCGGCCGCTCAACCGACTGAGCCACCCAGATGCCCCTAGAATGTCTTACTTCCTAATTGCTAAAACCTTTTTATCTTGAAATAACTTGAGATGCCCAAAGATGTTTTGCTTTGGAAACTGGGAAGACAGTATTATTATGGTGGTGTGGGTGTGGGGGGATAAAGGGCAAAAGTGACAGGGCAAGTAGGGGACCCAGCCATGGGCTCTGGGAGATGTCTGCAAATCTCTGGCTGGGATGGGGATGAGGCTGCACAGGGGACCTTTGTGGGCCTCCCCGGGGAAAGGAGCAGGCAGGCCATCTGACTCTGAGCAGGCTTCCTGGGGATGGGCACGGAAGGGAGGCTAGCTTGTTCTGGAGGGTGGTGGGCGCCTGCTAGGGAGGCCACCTGCTCGTGGGTGTTAAAGCTCAGCTCAGCTGCACTGTGAGAATGATGAGCCGATGGGGTGTGGGGGTGTAGGGAGGGGGTAGGGGGGCAGAGGAGGGGCAGCTGCTCACCCACCTTGGCCTCCAGCACCTTCAGCCTCTCGGTCAGCTCTGACACTTTGCTGCAGTTGAGGCAACCTGCAGGGAGGGAGGAGGCTGGGGCCAGGTGTCTCAGGTTCCCTGTGGAGCCCCTCAGCCCCGGGGTGGGGGGCAGAATAGAAGGGGACAGACACCTGATGAACCCAACCCATGAGATGACCCAGCACAGGGAAGGGGCTATAGCCATGCCCTGAGGGTTTCCTTTGGCTCCAGAGCCTCCAGAGCAGAGCCAGGGACCCACCTCCTACAGCCTTGGCATCCCAGATGCCTCCTTCCCTCGAAGCCAGGGCAGGAAATCCTGTTGCTTCTCCCTGGGTGGGGCTGGCCTGGGCTTGCCGGCTTTAGGGACTGACACATCACAGCCTGGACTGCGCTGGCCTCAGAGGTGCCCCCCTCTGATCCCTCCCTCCACAAGCTACCTACCAGCTCCTTTGGCCTCCCCACCGATACCCCTAAGTGATCCATAGCAGTTCTGGCCCGTTATGCAACCTCAACCTCCCAGCGGCCGCCTACAGGGACTAGTGCTTTCAGGCTCGTCTCTCCATGATCCTGGGTGTTGGGACGAGTGTCACTCCAGTTCACATCTGAGGACACTGAGCTCAGAGCAAGGGTGGGGTGAGTCCTTAATGAGCACAAAGTCTGGGGTCGAGTCCCAGTGCTGCCCCTTCCTGGCTCTGGGCCTTGGGCAGGGCAGGTCTCCTCTCTGACCCTCAGCTTCCTCCTCTTTAACATGGGGACAATGATGCCTTCCTGGGGCTGGGAGGTTTAAATGAGTTGACAATGGAAAGCACCTGGCACAGTGCCTCACTCATTGCAGATGCTTAGAAAAGCATCCTTTCAATAAAAAGAGGAAACTGGGGGCTTGGGCCCGTGTCTGCGGGTCATGGGTCTTGGGGTGCTGGGCCCAGGTCGGACTCCCTCTAGGGCCCTGGGGTGGGCACGCCCCCTAACCCTACACTGGGGGACCCAGCCGGCCTCAGGACCATCACCACATTGCCCGGGCCCCTACCAGGCCTCCCCTAAACTGGAGGGACCCCAAGCAGCTGCCCCAGCACCCACCTGAGAAGGCTGTGGGCCGAAGCGCCATCCGTCGCATGGCGTTGCCGGACCACCCGGGCTCCACGAAGCCAGAGGAGCCTGCAACTGAGGGACAACAGGGGTGAGGGCCCTGCTGGCCTGCACCATTCTTGTTTCAGACCCGCCCCTGCCCGTCTGCTGCTGTTGCCCCAGCAGGGATCCCTACTCCCCTTAGCGCAGAGGGAGACAGAGGCCCAGAGAGGTGGGACAGTTTCCCGGGATCACACAGCATGAGCTGGGCTGAACTGGAACAAGAGAGCCAACCTGATGGGGTTGGGGACAGGGGCTGGCAATGGGTGGGGGCCATGGTGAGGCTTCCCCAGGGACCCCGGCAAGCTGCATGGGTTAAGAACTTAGAGCTAACAGATGCAAGGCCAGGTCCCAGCCCTGCTACTTGCTGACCTGTGCGACTTGTCCTCTTCAGACCCGCCTATTTTCCCATCCGTAAAATGGGGTCCTAAGGCCACTACATCTCCCAGGCTGGCGTGAGGCCCGAGGAAGGCAATGTGTGCCAAGCAGTGCATGGGGCACACAGTAGGCAGCTGGGACATCGCTGTCCACCCTCTCCCTGCCCCAGTTGGTAAGAAGACACAGAAGTGGATCCAGCCCTGGTTTTAAATAAAAACCAGAGGGAGGCTGGCTGCCTGGGAGGGCAAGGGGGGCTGTGTTCCAGGAGCCCACCCCTGCCACCATCCCTATGGAGAGCCGGCTGCCCTGGCCGGTCTGGCTTTGGGGGCCTGATTTTCTCCACAGCCAAAGGGATGGGGCTGGCCAAGCCAGGGGCAGGGGGCACAGCTGGAAGGGCTCCAGAGCCAGCGGTAGCAACTGCCCCCCTCCGCCCCCCAGGCCTGCCTTTTAAGGCCAAAAAGTGCTGTCGGGGGGGGGGGGGGGGGGGGGGGTGGGGGGGTGGAGAAGACCCAAATAAGGCGCTGGCCCGGAGGCTCAGAGCCAGGCTGTGGGTTAGTGCAGGGAGTGAGGCGCCGGGAACTCAAACCAGATGGGTGCCTCTGGCCAGCCCCCAGCAGGGAAGCCGCTAGACCCTGCTCACCACGGGGCCTTCACTCAGACTGGGCCTGCATCCCCAGCACGTTCTCCCTGGGGACCTGTGACTTGCCCCAGCGCAGGGAGTGAATCTCAACCAGGACTGAGGAAGAGGCAGGTTGGCAGCCCAAGACTGGGTTAGAGATTGGGGACAGGTTACGGGGGAGAGGGGAATGCCACTGTGAGCCATGGCCCATGTTAAGTGCTTTATATATCCCAGCTCAATCCTATATAGTAGATAATAACAGCTAGCACTTAACTCTGGGCCTGGCACATTCCACTAAGCACTTCTCATATACAGTCTTAATTCATTATCCTCCCAAAGCCCTCTAAGTGGGTGCTAGTATCACCTCCACTTTACAGACGGGGAAACTGAGGCACAGAGCTCCTCATTTGTCTATGCTCAGACAAATGGATGAGTGAATAGGAATCTCTCTCCTGGGGGAAAACAAGAAGGCTGGAGCCTGGACTTGAACCCAGGTCGGCCTAACTCCAGGGCCTGACCTCTCTGAGCCAGCTTGCACCTCAAGTCAGCCCACCGCGCAGAGGCAGAGAGGCCGGGCACCAGCAGGAATGCTGGCTCCAGAGGAGAATGGGCTCCCTGAGCTCTCCTCACCCTCTTTGCTCCCAGGTGAAGACATAAAAGGCCATTTTATTACCCTTTGCAGGACGCCGAACAAAAGAAGCCGCTGTCTCTCCAACCCCGTGGAAGTCTGGGCTTTTTCTGGGATGAAGTTTGGCAGAGCATCTGCCCAGCCCGCCCGCCCCTGCTACCCTGCTATTGTTTCCCTGTTTTTCCATGGCATTCCTCTAACGTGTCCTGTAACTGTGTCAGTTCCAAAGTCTGCTGCCCATCATCCGTCACCCCCCCGCTGGCTGGAATGTGAGCCCCACCAGGGTGGGGACCTAGCCTGCCCTGTGCATGGCCTGGAAAAGGGCCCGGTGCGTAGTAGGGCCTCCGTGGCCTCAAAACACCTTCTGTTCATGAAGGCATGAATCGCTGGCTGAAAAACAAATGCAAAGCAAACAAAATAAAAGGCAAAATAACGTGGACAACAGACGCAATGGTCTTAAAAATGAGCATAAATCTTCTAACATCACATGAGGGGTTCCCTGAGTTATTTGTGCACTTGTGGTTGGCAATTCTTTTTCATCCAATTTGCTTTCATGCATTTCACTGAGAGCCAGAGAGAACTAGAAAAGCTAATGAAAACATGGTCTGACCATCCGCATAGATGTAACTGGCTCAAAGTAATGGCAAGTCAAAATTTTAAAAGGAAGGAAGGAAGGAAGGAAGGAAGGAAGGAAGGAAGGAAGGAAGGAAGGAAGGAAGGAAGTTAAAGAAATACCAAAACTGTCTAAAAAACCCCCAGAATATGTTGGTTTTGGTTTCAGGATTCACAAAAACGATCCCCCAAACTCCTCCAAATTCTAATAAATGGACAGAACTACTTTAATGGGCAAACAAGGTTGTAAAATGGCCCTTTAGCACAGCAAATCCCAGTAGGGAAAAGGCCAAGCGTTGGGGGAGGTCTCCTGTTGTCCAAAAACATCACATCCTTCCCACTGGTGTTGGGCTAGGGCCCTTGGAGCAGACCCCAGTAGCCTAAAAGCCCCTCTCACCCCAGCCTAGTGGTCTGTCCCAAAGGGCTGCCCCCCCTCAGCCCCAACCTCGCCCTCTCAGGGGGCTTGGTCTAGGATCGCAAATCCCAGCTCCATTCTGGAAGCCTGACAGTGGGCTACTTCCCACCACCTGGAAGGTCTCCACCAGTACTACACACACACACACA